ATTCAGTACTTTTAAAAATAGCACTATTAACTGACCATGGTAAAAAATAAATGATGGAAAAGGAAACCAAAATCATGTAAACCTTTGCTGAAGTTTAACAGATGTCTTCTGACAAATCTAGAGATCTCCTTATTCTCTTCAAAGTGAAATAAAGGAAGTCCCACCCCTTTCCATTTCAGGGACTTAACCTACCACCATGTCATTTAACATGCTTCAGCTCTTGGTTTCTGAACATCTAGATTATCAAGATATAAGAAGTGGAAAGGGGTAGGAATTCCTCTATTCCTTATTCCTTTGAAGGGAATAAAGAGATCTCTAGGTTTGTCAATAGACATCTGTTAAACTTAGATTTACATGATTCCCCACCCCCTTTCCATTATTTATTTCTCCTAGATTAGATCAAAGGTGTATGGAGTCTGGCATCCTGTTTTTGTCAATGCCATCTAGTTGCCTTTGGAAAGCTCTTAAATAGGGCACCAGCACAACTGGTCTTTATCTTCTTATTCTCAAAAATTGGTGTTCCAATTTAGTATTTAGTATTCCAATTAGTATTTGGTTTCTAGGGGCAACATTATGACTAATGGTACCTTTATTCTTATCCCCAAAGAATTAGTCCAGAATTAATACTGTGAATTAATTAATGATCAATACAGATTGTATTAGCAAATTCCATGGTTTAATTATACTGTACTGATATGATGAAATACTACTATTCAAAAGTGTTCACCTATCCTGGGATACACAGTTTATATGCACCGTTGCACAAGGGCCATTTTTACTAGCATTGCACCAAAACAGTCTAAATGTTAATCTAAATGAATTTTGGTGAATTCAGCAAGTTTCCAAAAAACCAATATGCACACTATGCAGTTGCTAGTTTTTTTGGGAAGATCCTTGAATTATTTGAATCTCTGAAGCATTTGAAACACCAAGTAAATAATTCCTTTCATTGGGATCCAGAATACAATTTCTAACTATGTGAAAGTATCACCATTAAATCATTTAACACAGCATTCCACAGTTCTCAGAAATAAATCTGTAAGTGTGGTTCTACCCATGCTAATGTGGGCATTGTCCATGCTGAACTGAATGCTATGCCTATGAGAAAATGAATTAGCAATTTTTTTATTAAACTCAACAGGAGATTATCAAACCTTTATACAAAACTTTAGATGCATGCATATATATGCACACACGTCCATGTACTCACAATGTTACTGACACTCATAAAACAGTATTTGCCATCATTTATTATATCTTATATCTACATTGATAGTGTAAAAGTAAGCCACACTCAAGCATCATGCAAGCCTTAAAGCTGAGGTATCATATGTGAAGCATTATGTCTTAGAATATATCTGTGGAAAAGATAAAATTTACTGTAAATGCAAGTGCTCTACGGAACTGGTTGATAACATTATGAAAAGCACTCATAGGAGACCAATAGCTTGATGAACAGGAAGGAAGGGAGATTAGAGCAGGAAGGAAGGAGAAAGGATTATTTGATCCTTTCCCTATAGGCTGCTTTCCCATTCCAAAATTGCTTTCTCCTCTAAAAGAAAGCAATGCAAGTCCCAAATATCTGTTTCCACTGGTGGAAAATTAACTTGGCCAGGCAAATGATAGCAATGGCAAAGAAAGGGGAAACATTAAACAGTCCTATCTCTGTGCTGTACAGGATGGTGATTTCTCATTGATTTTTTAATGGAAGAAAGCTATCTCCTTTTCAATGTCACATGTCATTTAAATACCAAAACTTATTTAAAAAGTACTTCTGAGCATGCCACATCAATATTCCACTTATATTTCTGAAATATTTTTCCAGATGATTTTTTTGGGTACCCATTCCATTCCAGACCTACTTGCTTTATAATGACTAATTGCGCGCAATATTACTCTTTTCCAAATACTTCTAAAATTGCCTGTTCTTTTAATACATCAACCTACATTTGAAACTACTTCTGACTGATAGTTTAAAGGTCTGTAAAGCACACATTCAAAACAGTCAATGAACATTAGAGGCTGTAATTGCATCCCCTGGGAGAGCTATCAAATCTCTAGCCGACATTCTAATTGCTCCCTGTTGTGAGTGCCTGATTTAATCAGAAATGAAAATGGTGTCCTATGAAGTATATAGATTATGAAACTGGAAATATTAACTAGTGGAAGTTTGCCATCTATTTATTTATTTTAGAGAATTGGTGTTCCCTTCTTGCAAACCATGCAACATGCCACGATCATCCCAAAGATGCTTTTTCTCACGAAGCAACTGGACTTTCTTGTTTTTCTTTGAAGACATTTCGCGTCTCATCCAAGACGCTTCTTCAGCTCTGACTGGATGATTTGGAATGGAGAAGCTTCTTGGATGGGAAGTGAAACGTCTTCAAAAAAAACAAAACAAGAAAGTTCGGTTGCCTCGTGAAAAATGCATCTTTGGGCTAACTATGACCTGGATGACTGAGAATCTCCATAGACATAGTCAGGATCATGATCGTCTCACAGACGAATTTTGCATCAGTGTCAGAAAAGGGAGTGGACATAAGATTAAATCCCTCAGTTTTATGCCTTTATGTCTGAAAAAAGATCCTATGTTAGGAAACTCACAATTATTTATTTATCTTTTTATTCCCTTTTCCCCACCCTGCCTCCAGAGAACTCCACTGTATCCTCAAAAATCCTCTATCAGTGGGCAAGAGTGAAAGGAAGCGAGGTCTAGATGGGAACTCCATTCTTTAGTGGAGAACTGAACCTGGATATCTCAGGTAGCCTAGAACAAATTTTTAAAGCATTTATCTTATGTAAGGAGGGAAAGAAACAGGCCTGTAATAATTCTATAAATCACTTCTTGTACTGCACTATCAATTACGAGCTTAATTACTGTAAGGCATCATTGAGAATCCTGTACGATCATCCGAAGGCTCATTAATCTAGTCATCAAACTGCAAAAGGAGAGTGTGTCAACAGTTCTGTAGCCATTATGGACCTATTGAGGAAATCCCAAGCCATCTAAGGCAAGGAAAAGCAATGTGGGCTCATTCAATTACTGAACCTGAACTCCCACCAGCCTGCTTAATGGTGAGGCATGGTAGGAATTGCAATCGAAAAATGTCTCCAATTGTTTCCTGTTCCAAGGAGAGCAAAAGCAGGGGGAGACATTTAGTCAGAGAGAACCAAAGTCTGCTCAGTAGCTTCAAAATATTCAGCAACAAGTGAAGAGAAAAAAAGAAAACCGATGACATAGAAAAGAATGATGTGGATGTGCTACTTATGCCTTCAGATGATGCTATCTATATGCATTAAGCATAGCTTTTTGCCAGCCAGCATGGCCCTGCTAGCAGTGAAGATAAGGCATAAAACAGCTGGCACCAGGCTGGGAAGTGCCAGCTTCTAGTATTCTAAGGAATGGCAAGGACTCTCATCCCTCAGTATGTAATCTGTTGTTATGTGTTGCATTTAAATATGACTGAATACCCATCTTTAACCAAGATGAGAAAGATAGAAAGATTTTTGTCTAGGAAAAAAAGAAGTAGGGATAAATGTTGGGTGGCTAAAGGACAGTAAACATCCCCCTTTCTCCTCTATTTCTTTTCTTAAGGCAAAGAACTCTTCCCCTCCCCCACTAACTTGGTTCCCAGAAGCAACAGTTTCCACCTGTTGTTATCCATCATTTCAATAGATGGTGCTGTGTTCTCATAGATATTGACTGTAACTTATTTCTCTGAAACATTTGTGGAATGCTAGAAGTAAATTTGAGTGTTTTTCTCTACTTGGCCTTCCTTAAACAAATCTAACACCAAGCACCTATTAAACACATAAAAAAAAGAACATGGTTCCTTTCATTAAGAACAGAGAGCCAATATCCTTAAATATGAGGCAGATTCCACTACAGAAACTTCCAATGGACGTAATTATTTTTGTGGAAGAAGACCGGTTTGCCGTTTCTCTGGAGAAATACATTTGCTGGGAAAATGAATTTAGTGGAATTTCCTAAATAATGCAAAGAAAGGGATTTGGGGCACAATGTTCATTTGAGGAAATAAATAGGAAACCAAACATCTGATTTGTTGGAACTGGTTGTTGGAACTGCACTGCAATTCGTATCTATGGATTCCAATGCCTCTCGAACATATTTCACTTCCTTGTATACCTCCTCTACTCTATTTCATTATATTTGATTTGGGTTTTGATTGCAGAAATAGCCTGAGGTACCCATTTTAACTTTTTTTTACATTAACTCGGACACATAAACAACTTTATTAACATGAAATAACTTTTGCTTGCCTTGAATGTTTATGCTTCACAAACGATCATTCCAAATGGCATACTTTTTTTCACCCCAAAGCACACATTTTTTTTCTAGTTACCCTGAGCAAAGGTTTTCAGTCTCTTACTTCCTAATAAATGCACAACATAATTAGAAATTATTTTTTAAGAATTATCCTAAGAGAACTGCTGGTGATTTCAAAATGTCTTTGGGTCTTTAAACCTTTAATGCACTTATTTGACAATCAAATAGGTATTTTTGTATTTGCCAGGATGGAGATACTACATCAATCCTCTGGGATTGAAATCAGGAGCAATCGTGTGTCCTCTGTACAAAAAACATGTAATAATACTATGGAGACTCATAGATATGCTATTTAGTAGGATCTCATCCAAATGCATCTATCTTGCTTTTGTGGGGGAAGATTATGGGAAGAACCACTGGAAAATTTCTTTCTGGAGACAGCATTACCCCCCCCCCCCAAAAGCCTTTGGAGTTTTAGCAAGAGAAGAACCACACATCTTTTTCTCTGTCACTTAGCTTGTCCATATCCAATAGAACCAACTACAGAACCATTTCCTTGACTTTGGTCATCATCATCATCATCATCATCATCATCATCATCATCATCATCACATTTCCAAGCCTCCCTCCCTGCCTACTTTGTTTCAGCAACCCTTTGGCTGACCCCCCCCCCATTCGAGCAGCTCCTCCCCCTCTCCCCAGGTCTTCTTACCTGATGATGACATACATGACCAAGAAGTTCCCAAAGAGCCCCACCACACATACGACGGAATAGAGGGCCATGATCACTATGGCTGTGATCATGGAAGGGCTGACCCCAGAACATAAACTGCCTCCTCGTCCCCCAAGAGTTCCGTTGGGTCCGCCGCAAAACAGCTGGGTGCTGTTGAGCTCGCTCTGGTTCCAGCTGTCCGCTTCCATAATCGTGCCCGACCTTCACTCCCCTTAATCTCCGTCGGGCTAGCCGGCGCCTGGAGTCAGAACTCAGGGTGCAGGCGCGGGAAAAATGGGCGCCGGGAGCTGTCCCTGGTGCTGACCACCTAGTTAAGTGCGAAGCCGCTTTTCTGGTCGAGGAAGCCGCCCAAGGCAGGAGTCCCATCCAGTGCTCTCTCTTTAGCCAGTTTCCGAAGGAGGACGGGATCCTTGCAGTTGCCTGACGCGACTGAGAGAGAAGCAAAGGACCCGTCGCACCTTAAAGCTGAAGCCTTGGGGAAACGTTGCCTCCTCCTGCGGCTTCCACCGCATTCCCCCCATCGAGCGCCGAGGGAAGAAGGAGGTCGAGGGAGGGGAGAAGGGAGAGAGAAAGAAGTGTGGAAAGAAAGTCTTGCAGAAACAAACCCACTGGAGCCTCTTCTCCCTTCAGATGTGCTCGCGCGCACACACGTGCGCTCACACAGCTGGCTTTGATAGCCGCGCACACGTGCGCAAGTTGATCGGGATAAGTCTGGAAAGGAGGAGCTTCTGGTGGAGGCTGGTGGTGGGAAGGAACTCTTTTTCACCCGATCTACTCCGCGACAGCGTCAGATCTTGACCAGCAGGTGAGCAACAACCCTCTCATTAGCTTTCTCTTTGTCAGATTTCAGCCTTTTCTGTACAGTTGTTTACTTACTCCGAAGTCAGCCACAAGATGTTGCTGTCTTGGATTTTGCAAAAAACAAAGGAATTTAGGTCTTTCTCTTCATGTAGTTTTCCTGACATAAGATGACAAAACGTTGCCCCTGACTACTAATGACCACGGTTCATTTGAATAAAACCAAATGATGGAGATCGTCTCCAGATTTTAATAAAGAAGCCTGTTGCATATTAGGCACCAAAAGTATTTAGTTCTTCCCCTCCCTGACTTTACAGATATATCCTTGCAGCATTCTAGGCAGCAAAATGAGAATGGTTTGCCATTGCCTTCTTCCAGAATAGATTACAGTTCTGCTATTGAGTGGATGTCACCCATCTGGGCCCATCTCTGCTTAGCTTCTGAGTGCAAATGGGATCACCAGATGCTGAATCTCACTGACTTATATATGCTATATCTGCACAACATGACTAAGATAGGTATATTCAATACAGTTACTAATGTACTGAAGACTTAGTAATTAATTCCATTTGGAACTTATTTTGTAGGTGCAAGATGCATATTAATAGGTAATCAATTTATAGATTTATTCTGCCAAAATAGTTCTCCACTCACATAGAACTTTGTTATAACTTCTGCATGAAGGGAGAAACTAAACTGAACAAAATGATGAGAGGCCAGTTATTCTCTTTCAATTAGCAATAGACAAGCTGTGTTACTAACCAGGATCAGATTGATATTCCAGTTATTTACAATCCATGCTTCATTGGGCTAAAACTATATCTGGGATTTCCAATTTGTTCTAATAAAATGATTACATTCCTCCTCTCTCTTTAACAATGCACAAATATACAGATTATTCTTATGTAAAAGTTATATGATTGCAGTGCTGTACCCGTCACAGTCTAAATCCTGCCTTTTGTGTTTGGCATTTGGGAGTAATGAAAATGATATAATGCCATATTTTGACAAGACTCAATGTGATCTTTTTTTCTAAATGTAAGCTCATCTCTTTCTCTCTCTCTCTTTCTTTCTTAATCTCTCTCTCTCTTTCATCTATCTTCTCTCCCCCTCTCGCTCCCTCTCTCCCTCCCCCTCTCTCGATAAAGATATTGATACTTTAATTATCATTGATTGATGATTATTATGTGCCATCAAGTCAGTGTCAAGTCTTATTAACCACATCAGTAAATTTTCTCCAGGAAAAATATAGCATTAGGTTGAGTTAGTGATTTTCTAGGTAGTAATGGCTATGTTGTGTGTAAACTACTAGGAAAATGTCTTGTGCAGAGTTTAATAAAATCAACGATACATGCATATAAACAACATCCTGTTCCAGGATCATTCTTATTTATTTCAAAGATGTTCAAAATGAAACTTTTGTAGTGGTTTCTTTTAAGAGCATCAATAGAGCCATGGGGATAAAGAAGGCTAAATTAAATAAAGAACTTATATTACTGAGATTCCTAAGTTAAAAACAATCACCGGGACCTTAAACCAGTACAGAGCATTTGAGGAAGGAACTTCATGGAGATTTAAATATAGGAAAAACACAAAGGGAAATAAATAATCAGCCTAAGTACTATTTCACTGATCTAATTGTTCTCTCCATACTCTTAATAATTTTATTTTATTTAGAGAGGGGGAAGATAGAATGTCTGTGCTGAACTGCTGCACAAAGTATATTAAATTCAGGGCAAAGGCAAGGACAAGTGGCACTTTTTTTTTTGACACATCTGCTTATTTTATCGACAAAAAGTGTTCCTAAAGAAACCAACAAACAACCATCTCTCTCCAAGTGCATTCCTTTGGCATGGATTTGCAAAGTATTTTCTTTGGGTACGCTATCTGGCTGCAGTAAAGAACTAATCAGCAGCATACTCTGAGCTATATAAGTAGGACAGAATGCTTTAGAAGTTGTGCTTTTTCTGTCCAAATGGCAAGAGTGATCAAGTGAGGCCTAGAGCTACTGCTTTATTATGTCATGCACATGGCAACCATCTGGTTGCAACTGATCTGGCAATGTGTTAAAACAAAAACCACAAAGTGTAAAGCGGTACACAAGGCAAAACAGAACTTAAAGGCCTCCTAATGGGGAGATTCATTGTTTGCTTCATCTTAGTTATGGTTTTCTCAAGATGGCAATCAATACTGGGTATGATCCAATGGAATGGAATGGAATGGAATGGAATGGAATAGAATAGAATAGAATAGAATAGAATAGAATAGAATAGAATAGAACTGGAAGGGACCTTGGAGGTTTTCTAGACCAACCCCTTGCTTAGGCAGAAAACCCTATGCCATTTCAGACAAATGGTTGTCCAATCTCTTCTTAAAAACTTCCAATGTTGGTGCATTTACAAGTTCTGGAGGCAAGCCATTCCACTGATTAACTGTTCTATCTGTCAATAAATTTCTTCTCAGTTCTAGGTTGCTTCTCTCCTTGATTAGTTTACATCCATTGCTTCTTGTCTGGCCTCAGAATCCATTGAATTTGCTCCAGTGGTACACTTCACAAAGTGTTTTGCTGACAAACCCTACCTTGAATGTAAAATCTGCTTTCATTCTTTGGAATTGAAAAAAAATAAGTTCTTTATGCTTTTTTCCAGAAGCAATTGCTGACCTTTATTTAATATAAGATCCAAGTCATAGAGGCTGTGATTATTATTTTTAAAATAAGAAATCATACATCTATTTGATGGGTACAGAGTTTTTTTTTTAGTCCAAACTAAGTAATTATTTTTTATACTGCATAATGGGATTTTGAGTCTCTGGTAGCTGTAATTCATGCAACAGCATCTATTCATCTATTTGCAAAAATAATATGAATGGGGATAATTTGGGGCCAATTATTTTCTCCCATTAATGCTAAGAGGAATGAATTTGGGCAGTCACTCTGTCTCAGCCCAACAGGATTGTTGTTGTTGTGGGAAAAATAAGAGGAGGAAGTCTCAAACGTCCTTTTTCATGAGGCAACTGGACTTTCTTGTTTTTCATTGAAAATGTTTCACTTCTTCAGCTTGGCTGAGAAGCGAAATGTCTTCAAAGAAAAACAAGAAATTTCAATTGCCTCCTGAAAAAAAAGCACCTTTGGGACAACCATGACCTGGATGACTGCGAATCTCCATAGATATAAGAGGAGGAAGGAATACTATGTATGTTCATTGCCTTGGGTTCCTTTATTACTTTATATTTATTTACTACATTTCATGCAGTATTAAGGCAGGATAAAACAATCAAGTAAGGGAACAAAATTAGGAAAAAAAATAATGGTTGTATAAGAAGTGTATAGAAATATGAAACTGTGGGAAAGAGTTGTTCCTTTTTGCCATGGCAAAAATTATCAAGGGAAACTAATTTTTCATAAATAGAATGTGATTTGATGTAAGAATGGAACTCTACTACCTCCTGAGAGCAGGTTGCTTTTGCTGATATGCCTTTCATCATGGTGAATATACACCAGCGAGGAAAAGCTTCCTCTTAATGTTTCTTTACAAAAAACATATATGCTGAAGACATGTAGGAAGAGGTGATTTGGCAGTAATGATGTCAGCAGTCTTCAGAATGATTTTGAATTGTTTCCCATTTCAGCTTTATTTTTTTATAGATTGTAAGTTGAATAGACAAAACCCTGATTTTGTGGATGGTGAATATTAAGTTGGCAATTTGAAGTATTACTAGGAAAATAAAATCTGACTTCTATATAAATGCACTTAGAAGGCCAAATTCTAAACTCCACCTAAACTCTATTAATCTATTAATAGATGATTCTAGTCTAATTAATATCTCATGTATGTGTCATTAATTAAGACATTGAAAGGACTGGAAAGAAAACAAAAACCTGGGTTTAGATCACCCCTTATAGATACAGTAAATATTTTGTGCCCAGCTTTTGACTGTGGAATAAAGAAACAACAGTCGGTAGCTGTTAAATGGGATCTCCCTAAAGAGAAACTGCCATTAAATATTAAATGCTGCATAAACTTCATGTCCTGCTTGTGTATATTCAGAGACATTTGCTTGGTTACTGCTGTTGACAATGGAAAAGGGAGTAGATAGGCTAATCATTGGACAATCTCTTGTTCTGGATTAATTAGGAAGTTAAATTGATATTATTGGTATATGTGACACAAACAGAATATTGCTGAAAACCATCTTCTTAATGATAGATAGATGGATAGATGGATGGATAGATAGATGGATGGATGATGATAGATGTAATGTAGTATATTTTATTTCCATTGAAGCATAAGCTATAACATGGGTGTCAAACTCGCCACATCCTGTGATGTGTCACGATGTATCGCAGTTCTTTTTGCATTGCTGGCGATGGTGTGGGCACGGCTTCGGTATGAGGAAACCGGCCCGCAGGCCAGCAGTTTACCACTCCTGAACTATACCACAGAAAAAGAATAGAATAGAATAACAGTTGGAAGGGACGTTGGAGGTCTTCTAGTCCAACCCCCTGCTCAGACTGCATTTTTAAAAGAGACACACTGCAGTTTTTCAAGTTGTTAATGTTAATTCTAGAGGGTCCTTGTTCTTATATACTGAAAAAATATATACAAAATATATGCAAAGCAAAAACAAATCTTACAACCTTCATTGTTCACTTTCTATATGAAAAGTGTTATCTACTCACTTATTCTTTCATACACAAGTTCATGCCCTTTTATCTATTCATACCTTCCTTCTCAACTGAAAATCTAGCTGGTCTGGCTATATTTGAGTTCAAGAAGAATCAAGTCAGGACCCCATCTGTGCATTATTTTCAGTCTATGTTATGGCTCCAAAATGCTATGGTTCCTATGCAGATTTAGATTCTAGAAGTCTCAGCCTACCCCACTTTGTAGTGTGCCTCCTGGTATTCTAGAATTGTTGTTGTTGTTAGTTGCAAAGTCGTGTCTGACCCATCGCGACCCCATGAACAAGGTTCCTCCAGGCCTT